GTGTCAGCAGCAGGCAGGCGTGAAGAATAATAGATTTAATGTTACAAGTTCTAGATTCAGGACTGTCTCACAGGGAAACAGCTTAGTGGATTAAGGTATTTTGTTTGGAAATTTGGTGATATAGTAATTGTGAGTTCAATCCCTGTGCCAGCTGGTACTGACTTAAACTTAGCAGAAAGACACCGAGCAATAAGTGAGCAGTACTAAATAAGAAAATTAAAATATATATATATAAATAAGTGAACACTGAAGTCAGCACTCAGTGTTCACTTTTATATTTACATACGCTCTATCTATGATATTGAGCACTTTATCCCATAAATATAGCATACCTTAAAATTATATTTCTTCATGTATGTGTATATATATATATATATATATATATATATATATATATGCATGGGCAGAGGAAGACTTAACGGTTAATAACTTTAATCATGTGACCCCAGGAAGGAAATAAAGCCACTAAGACGGAAGGGATTACTTAGTGTGAATAAATATGAGGAAAAAAACGTTATTAACGAGAGAGAACAGTAATAGAACAGGAATTAAGTATCTGTCTATATTTCTAAGATGAGATATTCCCGGCATTTCGACCGTTGTACGCTCCGGCCTTCTTCAGGATCTATCTATATTTCTGAGATGAGTTATTGTAATTATTTACACTATTTACATTGTTCGGACTGCTATCTTCATCATTGTTGCCATATTCATGACGTTTCGACCGTTGCCCACTGTGGCCTTTTTCAGGATCTGTCTATATTTTTGAGATGAGGTTTTGTAATTATTTACTGTATTTACATTGTTCGGACAGTTGTCCTCATCTTTGTTGCCATATTCACAACGTCTTGACCGTTGTACGTTCCGACCTTCTTCAGGTGATTGGAATTTCGAACTGAACCCTTTTATTTCGTCCACTGGAGTAGATGTTCTAGTTCCACGTGTGCTGGATATTTCAGTATGAGTTATCTCCCTTTAACTGAACTCGACAAGTTTTTGTTCACCTCATTTGTAGCCAGGTATTGAACTCACACGTCTTTGGTTCAGGTTAATGGATTCAATCAACGCTTGGAAGCATGGCACATTGGAAAAAACGTTTATTCCGATCGACATACACTTGAAGAAAACCGCAGAGGAGAGCGGCCGAAATGTTATGATAATAGTATCACAGATGGGGGTAAATTGTCCGGATGCAAAACAATGAAATAGTGATAAGTGTTCATCCCAGAAATTCAGTCGTTCTACATAGCCTATTCATACGAATCTATTCTAAAAATCTTGTCGGCATTAAACAGCACATTGAGTACAGTAAAACAAAATAAACGAAACCCAGGAATTCTGACCGAAAATAGTTTTGTGTAAGAAAAGAACAAATTTGGTAGGTTATTTTCCCCCCATTTTCCTTAAAACTTCCTCGTTACTCAAATGTTCAGGTCATGGTATTCTCAGCATCCTTCTGATTTAACCACATTTCTTTCGTCTTAAGTTTCATCATCCGTGAGGTGATTGTCCCGCATTCACTGCTATATAGGAAGACCGATTATTTACACTATTTACATTGTTAGGACTGTTGTCCTCATCTTTGTTGCCTTATTCACGACGTTTCAGCCATTGTATGCTCCGGCATTCTTCAGGATCTATCTATATTTCTGAGATAAGGTATTGTAATTATTTACATTATTTACATTGTTAAGACTGTTGTCCTAATCTTTGTTGCCTTATTCACGACGTTTCAGCCATCGTACGCTTCAGCATTCTTCGGGATCTATCTATATTTGTGAGATGAGGTATTGTAATTGTTTACATTATTTACATTGTTAGGACTGTTTTTCTCATCTATGTTGAAATATTCACAACGATTCGGCCGTTGTACGCTCCGGCCTTCTTTAGGATCTAACTATAGTTCTGAGATCAGTTATTGTAATTATTTACATTATTTACATTGTTAAGACTGTTGTCCTCATCTTGGTCGCTCTATTCATGATGTTTCAGCCGTTCTAATTTCGAACTGAAGCCTTTATTTCGTCCACCAAAGTAGATTGTTCTAGTTCCACGTGCCATGTCTCTTCCGGATGTCTAAGTATCAGTTATCTCCTAGAAACTGATTTCTTACGAAGAATACATATTCTATTCATACGAATCTATTAACCACATTTCTTTAGTCTCAAGTCTCGTCATCTGTGATGTGATTGTCCCGATTTCACTGCCATATAGGAAGGCCCATTATTTACACTATTTACATTGTTAGGACTGTTGTCCTTATCTTTATTGCCTTATTCACGACGTTTCAGCCGTTGTACGCTCCAAGTTTTAGTTCACCTCAGCTATAGTCGGATAGTTCACATCTTTTTGGGTCAAGTCATTGGATTCAGCCAACGCTTGAGTTAGCCGGAAAGCATGGAACCGGAAGAGAGTTCCACAAGCGAGAAGTGCGAGAAAAGAAAAAGTTAGCATAGACCATGAAGGTGCATCTAGCCAATTCAACTAAGAATTGATGAGACCTTGCCGCCAATCTAGTCGTGCACTTAAATTCATAAAGTCTAGGGAGCAACAACAAAAAATTTAATCAGAACAATTAGCATGAAAATATTTATAGAAAAGGCACAGTGAAGCTACATTATGGCGGTGGAAATGTGACTGAAGCCGAGACGCCAGGCCAGGACCAGTAATATAGCCGATTCTTCTTTAGATTTTATCGAGAATCTCTAAATATACAGCAGGTGATTCAATATTCTGTTTAGATTTTATCGAGAATCGCCAATGTGTTGTAAAAGTAGTTTTCACAGTGGAGTCTTGTATTTCACTAAGTAAATATACAACATCGACTGACTCACTCAACTCACTGAGCCCCCTGGCGCTGCTACTACTACTTATTATATGGGAGAGGTGTATTTCCAAACCATATTGTCGGGTCCTCATCTTTGTCGCCAATATTCAGGTGGTTGTTATAGAGTGAACGAATGGATGTTTTATCAGTTATCTTTTCCTGCCTTAACCAGGAGAAACTGGATCTAACCAACGCCTTTATCCATTGTGCCATGTGTCCTTGAGGACATCGCCAATCTGTATTTAAAAATGTTTTTTAGCATTTTTTACAGTGCTCATATTGCAATTTTTTGCTGTTATCATTGCATGTCTTTACCAGAGTTCATAGATTTGTTATCATTGCTTTTTCTTGAAAATATTGTATTTATT